GGAGTCGTCTAAAAGGGGTTTTGTCAATTTTTTATATATTGTTTGGGTGACTTGGTACATCTAAATTCAATACCAAGTGGTGACTCCTATTTTTTTTTTTAAAAAAAAATCCTTTTTAGACTAAATTTTGGGCCCAAACCATCACACATTTTAAGTCTCATTTTAGGTCCTTTTTCTTTATTTTCTAAAATAAAAAACACACCTTTTTAATATGCCAATATTCTCTAAAATCAAAAACTCATTTTTTCAACATTATAAACTTTATTTTTCAAAAAATTGGGCGCGACAGCTAAATAGTAGAACTTACAACCTATGAACTTACAACTGATAAGAAAAAAAATGTAAAAAAAAAAAAAGATTTAGTTAATAAGTGATAAGTGAAACCAAACGAAATTACAACTGAAAAACTATAACTAACACATAAAACGCAACAAAACTTAGGCACCAAAATTGCAGCGTATACTCAAAGACTGAAGAGAGCGACCTAAAATTGAAACAACTGCTTAATGAAAATCTGTGAATGCTATATCAGATGCTCTTTTGCAGCAATTCTTTCAAAGTGCAATTAAACCCCTGAAGAAATTTGGCAACTAAAATAAAAAGTATACAAATTATTCAATTTCTTTAATATTGGTAAGGGAAAAATTGACAAAGAAAAGAAGTAATTACCTTTAGCAGGAAAGATTGTAGAGGAGAAGGTGGAAGAAGCATGTAGTTTTTTGTGAGCAGTATTTGTGTTTCCTAATGTATAAAGACAAACTTTCTTTCACTCTTGATAATTTGCCAACTAGTCAACAATAAGGAAAACAAAAGGACAAACCTCTATCCCTAACAATGGTATTAGCCATCATGAACACAATAGATAGATAAAGTTGCAAACTTGATAAGTTGTCAGAGATTTTTCTTTCACTCTTGATAATTTTCCAACTGGGGAATGAAAATGAATACAAAAGGACAAACCACAATCCCACAGTTGGGATATGATAAAGAGTATAGAAGTAAAAAATCAGATGGGAAGCCATAATTTAGGAAAGAAAATCGTCAAATTGTTCACCAAGTGCTGGAGGAATTCAACAGGTACTTTTCTTCAGTTGAACCAGAAAGAGAAGGAAGAGGAAACAAAATAATGGAAAATAGAGAAAAAGAGAGAAAGGAAAAGGAAGACAACGGTTGGTGGATAAAAAGGAATACAAAAGGACAAACCACAAAATCTAATGAGCAACCATAATTTAGGGAAGAAAATCGTCAAATTGTTGACCAAGTGCTGGAGGAATTCAACTGGTACTTTTCTTTGTCTATAAACCAGAAAGAAAAAGAATGAGAAACAAAAGAATAGGAGAGAGAGAGAGAGAGAGAGAGAGAGAGAGAGAGACTGTTGACCAAGTGTTGGAAAAGTTCAATTGGTACTTTTCTTTGTCTCTTGTGGAAGTACGATAGTAGGTAGAAAACCCGTTTCTTGGCTACTATCTCCATAATCTATTCACCCGCTTCTCTTTTTCGACTGAGGGAAGAATAGTTGAAGAAACAAGAAATAATGAAAAGGAAAGGAGAATAATTTGAGCCAAAATGCTAGAAATAACCCTCAACGTTTAGCTACTGTTTTCAGGGGATGTTATTTCTGGTAGGGCAAAGTTGTAATTAGAAGGTAAAAGACGTACCAACCTCTTAATAGTAGTTAATTGTTCAGCCCAAGAGTTAAAATTTGGAGGGCATTGTTGGCAAAAGACATATGTGACGAGTGTGGAGTATACATCAACAATTAACTCATCCACAATCATGTTTTATATTTATAATATCCAAAATACTCCACACGCGATTTTTCGCAAGTATACAAGCCATGATTGAGTATAGGGTATTAAAGGTCGAAACCACAGAGAAGATTGTCAATTACTGATAGCTTTTGAACTTCTTTATTATTTAGACTACCACAAATGTAAAAGATTAAATCTGCACTATAAACATGAAATAAATGTAATAAAAATAACAATATAAAGCTTCTAGAGGTATGGAATTTCTAACTACTCTCACTAATGAAATTACCGGTTAAATGAATACTATAATCTTGGCTAGTTATGACATAATTTCCTAATGTATATGAAACCTACTCTCGTAGTGAATCAACTATACTTGTATTTAATCATACCTGCTCTTGTGGTTATGAAATCAATTACAAACTCATTTCTTCTATGAAATTACATGAAACAAGTCACTAAAACCGCATAGGTATACCTCTACTCTTGTGATTATACTCCCTAGATTTATCACTTCCTTGAACTAGTGTTAAATCCCAATTCTCATTGCAAACTTAACACATTAAAATTATCACAATTAATGGTCGGTTAATCATGATTAGAAAAGTAAAAGTAATAAATAACTTATTCAAAATAATACCATCAAATAACCATGTAAATATCACTAACAAGATATAACAAGTTCATCCATAACTCTAAGTATAAACTTTAGAAACACATTGAAACACAAATCCAAACTTGTATAATAACTAAACATGAAATCAAATACAAGAGAAAGTAATACATGAAATATTACCCTTGTCATATGAGATCAAACTCTCCATCTTGTTCCTTAATCTTCATCCAAGTTTAGTTACAAATAAAAGAAGGATAAACAACACTAACTATACTATATTAATCTAAGTAATGAACTAAAACAATTCTGGTGAAAACTACATTTTTGTGAAGTTTCTCTAGCCTTCGCAAAGATTTGAAAATATTCCCCAAAGGCCTATATTTATAGAGGATTAAAGCTCCATACAAAAACATGACACTAAATATAACAAAAGGACAATAAACACAACAAAAACAAGAAAAGCAAGAAAAAAATGTCTAAATTAATAAAGTTATTCTTAGCGCCAATAATGAGCAAAATCTTCCCCGACAACGGCATCAAAAACTTGACGAGCATGAGGTATGTATATAACAATTAGTTCATCTATAGTCAAGTTTTATATTTATAAAATTCAAAATACCCGACATGCAATTTTTCACAAGTATACGAGGCGTGATTGTGCATAGAGTATTAAGGGTTAAACCCACTGAGAAAATTGTCAATTACCGATAGCTTTCGAACTTCTTTATTATTTAGATTACGACAAATTGCAAAAGATTAAATCTGCACTACAAACATGAAATAAATGTAATAAAAATAACAATATAAAACTCCTAGAGGTATAGAATTCCTAACTACTTTTGCTAATGAAATTACCGGTTAAGTGAATGTTATTATATTGGTTAGTTAAGGCATAATTTCTTAATGTATATGAAACATACTCTCGTAGTGAATCAACTATACTTGTAATAAACCATACCTACTCTCGTGATTATGAAATAAATTATAAACTTATTTCTTCTATGAAATTACACGAAACAAGTCACTAAATCCACATAGGTGTACCTCTACTCTTGTGAGTGTACTCCCTAAATTTATCACTTCCTTGAACTAATGTTAATCCCAATTCTCATTGCAAATTTAATATTTTAATATTATCACAATTAATGGATGGTTAATCATGATTAAAAAAGAACAAGTGATAAATAACTTGATCAAAATAATATCATCAAATAACCAAGTAAATATCACAAATAAGATATAGCAAGTTCATCCATAACTCTAGGCATAAACTTTAGAAATACATATTGAAATACAAATCCAAAATTGTATAATAACTAAACATGAAATCAAATACAAGAGAGAAAATAGTATAAGAGATATCACCCTTGTTACATGAGATCAAACTCTTCATCTTGCTCCTTAATCTTCATCCAAGTTTAGCTACAAATACAAGAAGAATAAACTACACTAACTATACTAAACTAATCTAATTAATGAACTAAAGAAATTCTAGTGAAAGTTACATTTTTGTGGAGTTTCTCTAGCCTTCCCAAAGTTGTGAAAATGTTTCCCAAAGACCTCTATTTATAGAGGATTAAAAATTGAAGTAGTCATGTTAAGATTGATGCTAGTTGGCTCTTAGAATCATCAAAAGGTTGCTTCTTGATGTCTCCATACTTGTTAGCTCATATCTATCGGAAATTCTGTTTGAAAAGTGGTCAAAAAGCTTGTGTGAACAAAGCAAAAGTTGCAGAGCAAGTTATAGTTACAAATGAAGAATACGCGACATCGAAAACGTGAACTAAGGTCGCATATTGTACCCACGTTTTTCTCTTTTTAGGTTTGCTCATTTCTGATCAAGTCTTCTCTTTGCTCTGTTTTTGGTCCAATGTCAATTGATATTTTCTTGATGATAGAGGCTGAACTATCTCTTGTAAAAAGTATGAAAGTTATAGCCTTTTGAATTAACTTTCCAATACCTTCAAGAATCATCCAATTTAGAGATCTGTGGATCAAGAAATGACCAAAATACTCTCGACTAGTCAGAACTCTGTTTTAGTTTTTGACAATGAAAATGTACTTGTGTATTTCGATATTTTGACAAGGAAAATGACTAAAGTGGATTTCGATCTTCATATCAAATATAGAGCTATCTTTTAGTTTCAAAATAGTTTAAGAATCACCTCTATTCAATGCTTGTAACTCAAGATATAGCCGAAATAGCACAAGGTATCAAAGTTGGAAAACTCCCTTTCTTTTTTTCTTGATTGCATTTCCTCTTTTGAACATTTGACAGTTCATGTTTTCTTTAAATCATTTCAAATCATCAACAATCATCCAAATATCTTCTCAAGTCACTCCAATTGATGATTGAACCATTGAACCTATAAAAACATGAAATTTTCACCATTAAAATTCATAAAAATATAATTTTTGATACTTAAACCACAAAATATATATTTTTACTAGAAATTTAATTAATTGACTATAAAATTAATTAAAATACATCAAAACTAATTAATAAAACACGTTTAAAACGTTCAAAATATACACTTATCAATATGCTACGGTAGACTCCCTTCCCAAATGCAGTCACGTGGCTCAACGTGGGAGTAGAAGTCTTGACATTTTCTATATAAGAGATAAGATTTTTGATCCCATATCTCAACTTTTGATTTTATCATTCGTGTCTGGTTCCCATTGGCTGTGCGCTTTCTTTCTGACCAATTGACAGACTTTTCTACGGACGTAGGCGGCTAGTTAGCATACGCATCTATAAAATTTTCGCTATTTAAGCCCGAAATTTTGCACAATTAATCATTAAGGGACACCTTCTTTGGCAGTCCCAATTTGATTTATGTACAAGTCCTGCATATGAATGGAGCTCCAAGAAGTCCTGCGGATGAATGGAGGCGAAGGCGATACAAGCTACGCCAAGAATTCAGCCTACAATGTCTGTCTGTCTCTCTATCTCTCTTTAACACACACACACACACAGAGTAGTAGTAAATCATGCTATGATACGTCGATCTCTAACTTAGTATGTCTTTTTTCCCCCCTTAACATTTGTATTTTGGAGTGGTATGTGTAGCAACTGGTTCTCGCCAAGGTGAAACCTGTCCTTGAACAATGCGTACGGGAATTGTTGCGGGCCAACTTGCCCAACATCAACAAGTGCATTAAAGTTGCGGATTTGGGATGCGCTTCTGGACCAAACACACTTTTAACAGTTCGGGACATTGTCCAAAGTATTGACAAAGTTGGCCAGGAAAAGAAGAATGAATTAGAACGTCCCACCATTCAGATTTTTCTGAATGATCTTTTCCCAAATGATTTCAATTCGGTTTTCAAGTTGCTGCCAAGCTTCTACCGCAAACTTGAGAAAGAAAATGGACGCAAAATAGGATCGTGCCTAATAGGGGCAATGCCCGGCTCTTTCTACAGCAGACTCTTCCCCGAGGAGTCCATGCATTTTTTACACTCTTGTTACTGTCTTCAATGGTTATCTCAGGTCTTTGAGTTAATCCCTTTTATCTTTTTAATTTTTCTTGTAGCAAAAATAGTTCATGATTTTCATTCAACACATTAGTAACTATGCACGGAAATTTCTTTAATAATTCTCAAGATATCCACAGGAATCCAAGAAAGAGATTTCTGAAGAAACTAATAACATATTTTATTCAAGTCGTGGCTCATGATTTATATTCCCACATGCAACACTAACAAAATGATCCAACTATATAAGTTACCAGCTCTGGACGTGCAGGTTCCTAGCGGTTTGGTGACTGAATTGGGGATCAGTACGAACAAAGGGAGCATTTACTCTTCCAAAGCAAGTCGTCTGCCCGTCCAGAAGGCATATTTGGATCAATTTACGAAAGATTTTACCACATTTCTAAGGATTCATTCGGAAGAGTTGTTTTCACATGGCCGAATGCTCCTTACTTGCATTTGTAAAGGAGTTGAATTAGACGCCCGGAATGCCATAGACTTACTTGAGATGGCAATAAACGACTTGGTTGTTGAGGTTATCATTTCTCTGTCTCTTTGACGATCAGATGCTCATTGCTTGTTATCTGAAATGAACTAGATAGCTTATTCAGGGTTCCTACCCTGCAAAATGGATGCAATTTTATTTTTTGTAACCTTGATACAATAAACTTTGTGTAGACCAAGTTCACCGTAAATCAGATGGTAGTAACCTTTAATTAGAAGTTAGGTCACACAACTCCAATACAGTTAAAGATAATTCTTTCAAGTTAGAAATACAGGGGGATTTAATTTGTCGGCTATCTTTTTTTCCCCCTTTTTTGGTTAAAAAGGTATTGGAAAAAATAATAATATGGACTAAAAGCACAAGTAATAATAATATATTCATTTTGAAATTAAGGAAAAAAACTGTACCTTTTTTGTCCTAGAGTTGAGGTTTTAGCAAATTGGCTAATTTCCAAGTCTCGTGCTTTGAATAATTTGAATTGAATTGATGATTGGCATATCTGCAGGGACATCTGGAGGAAGAAAAATTGGATAGTTTCAATCTTCCAGTCTATATACCTTCAGCAGAAGAAGTAAAGTGCATAGTTGAGGAGGAAGGTTCTTTTGAAATTTTATACCTGGAGACTTTTAAGGTCCTTTACGATGCTGGCTTCTCTATTGACGATGAACATATTAAAGCAGAGTATGTTGCATCTTCCGTTAGAGCAGTTTACGAACCCATCCTCGCAAGTCATTTTGGAGAAGCTATTATACCTGACATATTCCACAGGTTTGCGAAGCATGCAGCAAAGGTTCTCCCCTTGGGCAAAGGCTTCTATAATAATCTTATCATTTCTCTCGCCAAAAAGCCAGAGAAGTCAGACGTGTAAAAGTTTGTTTTTGTGTTGGGGAAAGGAATAAGTGCCGTTGGGGGTCTTTCGGGTATTGTGCTTTTTATATTATATTGTTTTGTATCCGTAATAAAAGTGGTGTGTAAGAATAAGATATTTGACATATATTATTTTCATATGTATATTGGTACACAAGATATTTGAACACGCACAACAACCAGATGCAACTGCACAAATTACACAGATTTTTTGCGTAAATTACCTTTTACCCCCTTATAGTTTGGTAATTTATCACATAACTCTCCATATTTCAAAAAACTATATATAAGCCCTCATGATTTGGGTAAAGTGTCATCATTAGCTCTTCTATTAAGATGAATGGTCAATAGTAAAAAATCAAAATCAAATTAATAAATTCACCCTTTCACTATCTTTTTTTCTTCTCTCTTGTGATATCAATTTAGAAACATATACAGCTTTGTTATTTATTTATTTTTCATTGAAACCACGAGAAAACCATGAGACATAGAGATTGAAAGAAAAGCATTCAGTTTTTAAAGCTTTAAGTTGAGGATTCCAACGTCGGTGGAGTTGAGATGATATGGACTTGAAAATTTAAGTACCAAAATAATTTTACCATATTAAAAAATTGAAATTCAAGATGTTGTTGGAAAGTAAGTCTTTTTTTTAACGTGTGCAACATGTTGAAATGTGGTACATTTTGTTTGGTTAATAAATTTAACTAAAAATAATAACCATTATGCTGACATAAACTAAAAAGAACAACATATAAAAACTTAACAATGACAAAAAAAGAGAAAAAAATATTATTCAATCAACCCAATGACATAAAGTTGTTTATGTTATAATAAAATATTTAATTAACTGTTTTAATTTATCAAATATAAGTATTGAGCATTAGATGATAAATAAATTTTTAAGAGAACTTTTATTATGATTTTAAAATATATTATATTTTTTCATCCATGCACAACCGACTTTCTCAGTGGTGTCCGGATATCCTTCTTTGTGCGTCCCACAGGGCACAGTTGGCCTCCTTGCATTGCTTCTGCCTGCTATGGGCAGAAAGGTGAACTTTCAACCGTAGTCCTAACCTATCCCCGTATCTCAACTTCTGATTTTATCATTAACTTTCATAAAGTGGTCACTTTGTCTTCAAATACATTAGGCTTTTCCTTAGTAAATGGCATACTCAATTGTCATTTTTTCATTCGCTAAGTGTCACTTTATCTTTTTGAAGGAAGTGTCACTTTATCTTGAAAGACATTATTCAAACTTTTGTTAGTATCTCGCAAGCTCAATTCCCAGTTATTCCATCTCTAAGTTCCAACATATGAAAAAGAAGCAGAACACAATAAATGAATGACCTGTGAATATTTTCTTGGTTCAGATTTTAAAAAAGCATACCAATACATTATTATTCTCCAAAAAAACAAATAGTGAAAAAAAAAAGAAAAGTAAAAACAATGAGATAATTCTCGTAGAAAAATTCTCGCCACAGAAAATGCAAATGGCATAGGAAAGTCACTGTCATAAATAATGGCAAAAGCCAGACAGCAGACAAAAGGGTACATGCGCAGGTGACGCCCTGCGGAAGATGCTAAGCTGGGGCCCAGTTTGGTGGCGGACAAACACAATGGGTGCTCCAACTTTAGACGCAACTGATGCCAGCCAACAAGCATGATAAGCATGTGAATCTCACTGTGGATTACTTTTTGAGGTAATGGAATGTCGTTTAGTTTAGGGTTTGTCGCACCTTATTTTTTTAAATAAAAGAAAAAATAGTGTTAAAAAAAAGAGTTTTTGATTTTAGAAAATAAATAAAAAAAGGGTTAAAATGGAACTTAAAATATGTGACGGCTTGAGTCCAAAATAATAGTTTAAAAAAGATTTTTTAGAAAAGAGTAGAGTCGCCACTTATTGAGTTTAGGTGTATCAACTCACCAAAAATATATTTTAAATAAAAACAAATAAAACCCTTTTAGAAGACTCCAAATCTTTGAAAATAAGATAAAAGAATTCGGGAATCATGTTTGAAGAAAGGGAAGACAAATATTCCATTTAAGACTTCCTTTCAACCTAATCAATAGTAGTTGCGAGATTTAGTCGAAAATTTTCTTAATTTAATATATACAACTTATCACATTTTGAATGTTTCTATATGGATGCAAATCTAGATATAAAGGATATTGGGAGGGACAAAATGTCTCTTCAAAATTTAATTGGTACTAATCACATTAATTGTGATGTCCAGAAATGATTATTTGAAGAGATCATGAAAAGTGCAAAAGATGAGACTCAAAAAGGAAATTATAATATAGATAAATGTACATGACCTAGAAAAGGGGAATGCAATATAATGGGTATGAGAGACTAAAATTCGTGATTCAATTTTTCTTCTTATAGAGGGGTAATAGCGTGCCAAGTTTAAAAATTCATACTCACCTATTTCTCATATTCGAAGGGTAAATCTCTTAACCTTGTCAACCAAGTGGACTAGTCTACTTCTCATTTTCTAGAATGAAATGCAATTCTAAATGATATGGTCCAAATATATAGAGGGTAAAGGAATGATAGTAGGGAAAATGTCATCCAATTGAAAATAACCTAAAAATAGGAAAAAAATACATGAGATGCAATAAATGTCACACAATGTATGAATTTAGCGTGAATATGATCTCAAGGGTTTAGTATTGGACTAACCCATTTCTACAAGTTCTCACTAGCATTGGACTAGTGAGAAATCGGGGAGAAATGCCAAAACTAGTATTGAACTAGTGTGGCGACGTCATGCATTTATTATAAATAAATAAAACATAAAAAACATAATTAAAACACATAAAACATATAAAGTATGTAGAGGACATAGCACATATGCATAATATTTAGATACAAAATCCTAGAAAAAGCGAATAAAATACATAAGCGCACAAGCATGCAAGCAAATGAAAACTAACTATTATATTGAGGACTCCAATTACAATGTAGAAGGGGAATTTTGAAAATAATAAACCTATCTATTACATTTATCTAACTAATTACAATTTCGGTGAAAATAAAGTCTATCTAACTAATTACATGGCCTAACTGAATATATTTTTTGGACACCTATCTGTTATAATTTGGCTTTTAAATACCTTCCAAATAATCATCAAAATTTAAATAAATAAAATAAATGAAAGCTAAAAATGAATAAGATAAAATAAAATAAAAGACAGTTAAAACACGCAATCACACATATAAAAAACACATAGGAGCACATAAAAGAATTTAAAATAATAATAAAAAGTATCTCCTTTGAGTAGTGGTTAAATGAGGTAGAATTTGCCTTATTTATACTCCAGAACCAACAAAATAGTCAAGGTACCAATTTAATTAACAATTTAAAAGAAAATACAAACATATAGTAAATTCACTTTATTATTATAAAGAAATATGAATAAACATAAAATTCCTAAAATTTACTAATTAAATGCATTTAAATGAAGCATGATTAACAATTAAATGAGGTAAACTATTGCAGTTAAGAAATGAGATTAACAATTTAATTCGTGGCTTATGATTTATATTCCCATATGCAACACTAACAAAACGATCCAACTATATAAGTTACCAGCTTTAGACTGCAGGTTCCCAACGGTTTGGTGATTGAATTGGGGATCAGTGCGAACAAACGGAGCATTTACTCTTCCAAAGTAAGTCGTCCGCTCGTCCACATTTCTAAGGATTCGTTCAGAAAAGTTACTTTCTCGTGGTCGAATGCTCCTTACTTGCATTAGTAAAGGAGATGAATTCGACGACCTGAATACCATAGACTTACTTGAGATGGCAATAAACGACTTGGTTGTTGAGGTTATCATTTCTCTGTCTCTTTGATGATCAGATGCTCATTGCTTGTTATATGAAACAAACTAGATAGCTAGCTAGCTTATTCAGGGTTCGTACCTTAGTTGAAAAATGGATGCAATTTTATTCTTTGTAACCTTGATAGAATAAACTTTGTGTTGACCAAGTTCACCGTAAATCAGATGGTAGTAAACTTAGAATGGTATGGACTGCTAGTAAACTTAAATGACTACAGTGTTTTCAAGATAACTCGCTACAACTTTTGAATAGAACAGGATCAGATCATTTGCCCCTTTTGATGAAAGTTAAGCAACACAGCGCCTCTACTCCACAGTTATTCAAATTCTAGCATATGTGGGTCCAGCACCCAACATTCCTTGACACGGTTCACCAAAGTTGGGAGCAAGCTGTTCAAGGCTATGGCATGTTCACTTTCTTCTTCAAGCTCCAGCGCCTCAAACATGACCTTCAGTAGTGGAACAAAGACATGTTTGGAGATGTTTTCAAGGATGTAGCAGCAGCAGAAGAAGAAGTTAGAGCATGCGAGATCTTGCTGGAGGAGGAAGGGACAAAAGAGGCGAGGACCCAATAGAGCCACACACAAGCAAGGCTGCTTAAGACACTTGCTGATGAGGAAATGTTCTGGAAACAAAAAGCATGAATACGATAGCTGAAAGAGGGAGATTCCAACACAAAATTTTTCCATTCCACTCTAATATCCAAGCGGGCATGCCTCTCAATTCGTCAAGTAAGGGGGGTAGATGAGAACATGTTAGAAGACGAGGAGGCTATAGGTCAGAGTGCAGCAACTTTCTACAAAAACTTGTTGTCCTGCCAAAACACTCCTAATTGTGAGCCAGTAATTGAAGAATTGTTGGCTTCGATTCTAAGGCTGGTTACACACCAACAAAACAAGGATTTAACGAGCGAAGTTACATTGGAGGAAGTCAAAAAGGCTGTTTTGCATTGGATGGCCAAAGTGCAGCAGGGGTGGATGGTTTTACGAGGTTCTTTTACACGACTTGTTGGGACATAATAGCTCAAGACCTGTTGCAAGCAGTCGAGGGTTTTTTTGTGAGGTTCCAACACCAAAAAGTATTGCCAGCACCTTAGTCATACTGCTACCAAAAAAAGAACAGCTGCAGACATTTGTCGAGTTTAAACTAATAAGTCTTTGCACCTTCCTAAAAAAGGTACTCACGAAGATTCTTTGCATGCGAATGAAATCATTGATGCCTACTCTAATATCATCGGAGCAATCTGCTTTTGTCGAAGGGAGGGAAATATCAGACAATATCCTTCTGGCCCAAGAATTGTCGAAATCG